CTTATGAAGGCAGAAAGATGCAATCCCCGTGAGGGTTTAGGGTTTAGGGTTTAGGGTTTATGAGGGTTTATGGTTTACGAGGGTTTAGGGTTTACGAGGGTTTAGGGCTTAAGGGGGTTTAGGGTTTAAGGGGGTTTAGGGTTTGGGGTTTACGAGGGTTTAAGGTTTACGAGGGTTTAGGGTTTAGGGTTAAGGGTTTATGAGGGTTTAGGGTTTATGAGGGTTTAGGGCTTACGAGGGTTTAGGGTTTACGAGGGTTTAGGGTTTAGGGTTTAGGGGTTGTGAGACATCTTGTCCTCTTCCTGTGCTGCAGCGGCTCCTAAACCCATCGACAATATCTTTGTTGCGGTGCGTTTTAGGTTTTAGGGTTAATGAGGGTCTAGGGTTTATGAGGGTTTAGGGTTTATGAGGGTTTGTGGTTTTTGACGTTTACCTTCGTTTATTTTGCTTTTTCTCGCCGTTTAGGGTTTATGTTTTCGGGTGTATTGTTTCCGAGAGTTTAGGGTTTACTAGGGTTTAGGGTTTACGAGGGTTTACGAGGGTTTAGGGTTTACAAGGGTTTAGGGTTTGTGCTGCAGTGGGATATGACGAGCTGCCCCTTCACCGCCGCGCCGCAGCAGCTCACTTCTTTTGCTGTTTTAGCGGGGAGACAGCTACAAACCCTAAACCCTAATCAAAACCCTAATCTAAACCCTCATCTAAACCCTAGCAGCAGCAGCAACCACCACCTACACCATCAAGATATGGGTACGAACTCTAGGGTTTAGGGTTTAGGGTTTAGGGTTTAGGGCTTATTTTGAGGGTTTATCAGCGTCTAGGGTTTAGGGTTTAGGGTTTAGGGTTTATTATGATGGTTTAGGGTTTAGGGTTTCCTATGCTAGTTTAGGGTTTATGAGGGTTTACGAGGGTTTATGAGAGGGTTTACTCTGGTGGGTGGTTTATACTCTAGTTTCTAGGGTTTAGGGTTTAGGGTCTAGGGTTTAGGGTTTAGGGTTTAGGGTTTGTGGTGCAGCAGACGGCGGTATGGGTTGCTGCGACGATGAGGGTTTTGGGGTTTCTGACGAATCCTTTCATCATCCTGCTGCAGCAGCAAACAACGCGGGTTTGTCT